ACAAGCTGCCCCATCTGGCTGCAGTCCGGGGACAGTCCGATGTTTTTCTGCGGTCAGACAGGTGATTACCAGGTCAGGCTATACACCATGACCAACCTGCAATGGTTAATATGCGTAGCTAACGGCGCGTCGTGCCGCTAATAAGGCGTGTGAGCCGAGCTAGCTAATGATAACAAAGCCCCGCTACGTTCACCTTTCGAAATTCTTCTACTTAAAGGTTGCCATCTTTATTTTTGCAGGCAATGCATCTAACATCACATGAAAAAACACAAACACGTCTTTATTAGCAATGCCTACTGGAAGGAACATCGTTCTTATAACCAATCAGCATTTTGTAAAAAATAAGAAAAATACATATCAATTTAGTATTGCGTCACACTCGCTCATTGGTTTTGGTGGTAGGAAAGAACACCACGATCTTTATAGCTGACATTTTCCTGGTCAGAGTTTTGCATGTCTTTTCAATTTGGAGATAGGATAATTGAGATTGTTGTACACTATGAGGTTATATTTATCCTTGCGGTTTCCATAAAAAAAACCTCTGACTTTAAAATAGATTCGAGTTTGTAGTAACCTCGCATTGACTGTGCAAACATTGTTCTCTGTATAAATGGTTGTGTCATGGTTTTAGTTTGACCTTCATATTAAATTAAATGAAGTATTAACGTAGTGCGTTCTTCACTGATGGAATTGTCCTTGGATCAGCAGACTTGCAAAGTGATGTAATGTTATTGGGATCACCACTAGAGGGCAACACTGAGTGCTTTTATTTTTTTAACTAATGAGCATCATGTGAAGTCAGGGCTTCCTCTGGTAATGGACGTTTTAAAACTTCTGCTACGCAAATTTGACATTTTAATGAATAAATGTATGGGATCGTGTTTTACTACATGTAACAAAATGTGTATTATAGGAGGTATATTTAAGATGTTCTTTTTAGGCCGTTGTACAACATTACAGATAAATAACAGTGACAGTTAAGTGGAAGAAAACAATAATGCCAAGCTTTTTATGTGCTGGAAATGCTTTGAGACATAATAGATAAAGACATATTTTGTGTCACTATGACCTGTGAAGGTCATATCACATTATCAATGCACCAGCAGTCCTCACTGTTCTCTTCACCAGATACTATCATATCCATACACACATTATCATTTATTTAACCATTGCAGTCCCTAAAATGTCATGACTTGTCTGTGCTAAGTGTTGGCATATGGACGAGCCACTTGGCACCAGCAGCATCAGGGGAATGTCAACATTTCAGCATGCCTTTGCTTGATCTGCTTAACCTACAGATTAAACTGTGATGCTTTTTGAGCAGCTTTACTTGACTCATGAATATGTGCTATATTTACCCAGATGATCTTTCCATTTATTTTTGTCTATCTCTGAAAATCATGTTCTATGCTTCTTTTATTGCAGCATCTGTGCCCATTATGAATCCGGTTTACAACCCTGCAGCAGCAGGGGTCCCATTTACCAATACTAAGGGTATGGCATACCCAGGTAATTTCATTTGCTGTGTGTAATTTTTTTTTAAACAAACCTCTTCACTTCACAAAAATATCCAGGAATCAAGAATATTTTCAATGATTGACTTTCTGATCTCTTTTTGGTTATGGTAGCTGGATTCCCTGTTGGCTATGCAACAGCAGCTCCTCCATACAATCCCAATATCTATGCAGGAGGAAACCCAGCCTTCCCCAGCGGTAAGAACATGTTATTACTGCGTGTATGACATAAGCTAATGGAGATTTGACAAGTCAGTGCTAGAGCAAGAATTTGATCGTGGTGTATGTAGGTCACACCCACTTACTGTAAGTGACACTAAATTGAATTATCATCAGTAACTTAAATGTCTTCCTCCCACCTAGGCTATGCTCCAGGCACTCCTTTCAAAATGTCCTGCTCTCCCAACAATGGGACTGTCCCACCTTACTCCTCCTCACCCAACCCATACCAAGCTGCTATGTACCCGGTCAGGAGCACCTACCCCCAACAGAACCCCTATGCACAGGTCAGTGTGAGTTTACATTTAGCTCTCGGTTATGGTGATATTGCTGCTTCAATGTATTTTCTGTCTGGTTTAAATGTTTGAATGTAACATGTTTTTTGTCTTCCAGCTAATACCTTCACAACAACAAGGCGCTTATTACACACAGCCCCTGTATGCTGCCCCGCCTCATGTTATCCATCACACTACAGTGGTCCAGCCGAATGGGATGCATGCAGCCATGTATACCCCCCAAATGCATCCTCAACGCCACAACAGCGTCGCCATGGGGATGGTAGCCGGCACCACCATGGCCATGTCAGCTGGTGAGCATCGATTAAAGGGTTGGTTGGTGTAAACATTTTCCAAACACTTGACTGGACCAGCAAACTGAGTTTTACACTTGATCAGCATTATGTCAACATTTAGATCATAACGTTTGAAAAAAAAAAAAAAACCTACAGCTGGTTTGCATAAAATAAACCGTTTTTAGCTCGTACACCGGAAAGGATTGTTTTAAAATTCAAATAAAAACTCTATTCCGTTTCAAACGTATAATTTAGCAGTAACAATATGTTGTAAAGATGCTACATTTGAAGTTATACCTCCTTGTGGTTAAATCATAAATGCCAAGTTTTACACCAATATTTACACCTTCAGTACATTTGGTCCCATTCTTCATTGTGGAAATGTATATTTTATTATTGTATAAGACCCGTTTTCATTCTGCGGTCACTTTGCTTCTCAGGAACCTTGTTGACGACTCAATCACCGGCGTCTGTTAACCCTCACCAAGTCACGATGCCCACATATCGGCCCCCGGGCACACCTAGCTACAGCTATGTGCCCCCACAATGGTGAAGAGAGAGAAGCGTGAGTACATGCCATTAATATTTAACATGTTACCTTTCTGGCTTTACATTCTGCTCTCTGAATCCTTTCCTGAAAACACACATATAAAGTATTTCTGCATTTTGTTCTCTTCGCAGGTTAGGACAGTAGATATGCATTCACACTCTACGCCAGTGTTTTTTGCAATTGGTTTAGACCTGCTCTGCCAGTGTCTGCAACCAGTTACTCTTCTTCCAGCATAATGTGAATCTAAACCCAAATACATAGAAAGAGGCCCATTTGGATAGTCGGGGGTGCAGAATAGGCCCATCCCCATGACCCCTCTCAATGGAATAAGGCTGCATTCCATGTCAAACCCCAGCGCCAGCACCTCTTCAACCTGCTGCATATCTCACATCCAACAGCAATGCCTCCATGCAAACTTTTTTGTGGACTGTCATGCAGGGTTTTTTAGCTTAAAAAAATCTTAAGTGGTAAAAAGGGAGTTTGGAATAGTTTTTGTGTTTCTTTCAATTTGGGGGATATATATGATGTTGAATGCATGTGTATACTATACATAGATATATGAAGTAATGCTAGCGCAATCTACCTGCTGTGACAGATGCAAAATCAACAAAAGGCACATCCAAAGGAACTAAAAAAAAAGTAATAATCTGCAATGCTGAATCACCAGTGACCATTTATTACATGTGAAAGAATGAAAGACAAGAAACGTGTATTCATGCAAAAACATACCTGCACAAAGAAGTGCAGACCAAACTGTACTATTTTCACTGCTATGTGTTTTGGTAAGTACGGCTAGGTTTTTATTATTTCTCTGTCATGCAGTTCAAGCATTTTGTCTTACCATTTTTGTATTTTAGGAAAAGATAGGACTTTTTAAGTGTCGCAATGGCCATCAGTCAAAAACTCAACCATTCTGAGTATTTTATTTTTCCTGCTATATCCAGGAGTATCAACTTTCCAAAAGTGTCAAGCAGCTTTTCTTCCTTTTTTTTTGGGGTGATACTTTTACAATTATTCACTTATTTTAGCCAGAAACACTCTTTTTGTGAGGAACAAGTAGAGGAAGTTGTTAGAAATCATTTGCACCCATCTAAGAGTTTAAGAGAATGGATGAGTAGGAATAGTGGTGTGTGTGTGTGCGTGGGTGTGTGTGTATGTGTGTATGTGTGTGTGTGTGTGTGTGTGTGTGTGTGTGTGTGTGTGCGTGGATGTGTGTGGATTAAAATAGAAACCATTAAAAATGGTGCCATATATTGCAACGCGCCTAGAATATTCGACCTACATCTCACAATACTCAATTTGTTCTTAGGTAGGTCTAAAGCACTACATAAAATCACTGCTAACTGTGGACATGTAAGAAAAAAAAATTATCTTGTTAAACTTCATTCGTGATTAGCACTACTGAAGGCACTAATTCAAAACGGTAAAGATATCTGACCTTTTACATTGCTCGCTGTTTTACCTCAAGGTTTCAGGCTAACCACCAATATCACTGTTTCAGACATGCTTTTATATGTTGCCTCAGTCACCTCGGTTAAATAATCTGTTTTGTAAATGTTATTTTTGTGATTTTGGTTCTTGTTTTGTATTATAAAGAAAGACCAAAAATAAAACAAATATAAGAATAATCTTTGTTTCCTTTTGTGTCATTCACTTCTTGGTCCTAAAAAGTACCTTGCTGGCAGATATACTGTATAGTGATAAGAGTTACCCAAAAAAGGTTGTGAATAAAAAGAAATGTTTACACGGTAGTAATAACACAATCCTTTTCTTCAAACTAGGCTACAGGTGACATATGATATTAGCTGTTAACAGAACACAGCAAATGTTGCTTATACAGCTAGGGCAGCCAATTAGAATGAGGGTGGAGTAATGCTTCTCGACAACAACAGACAAACGCCCTCAATGCTCTACTGTACATTAAAACAGCTATTAAAGAATAAGATACAGATACTGTTAACATTCACTTACATATACAACCAAAAATAAAATATATGTTTATTACGTGGTCCAATTGTTTGAGCCAGCGCTGGTTTGAGCTATCGATAGTAGTATTAGTAGGTGGATTAAACCGATTTGAACGGCAGGGGGCGCCAAATATTCCAGATCAGTAGAAGAAGAAAAATAAAGGAGAATAAGACTTCCCAGCATGCAATGCGGCGCGCGGGGATTTGTTTTGATGTTACTAACATGGGAGTACTGCCTCAAAGTCCCCTATAAACAGATACGTGTTCATTGGACTCATGTATGTAAGTTTTGTTCATTTAAATGTGGCAGTGTTTCGTGTTGTGTGGTATGTTTAACTTCAAGGCTAGTAATGGGTTTTCTGTTGTAAAATATATTAATAGCGAGTGACAAGTATACATGTGGATTTAAGCTAACCTTTTAGCTGACGTTACCACCTATGCTTTGTAACCAACTATTTGTAATGCTCCATGTATTGTCACTCAAGGAAACAAGATGCTATCGAGTATACTGTAGTAAAGTTACTTAGTATATAACACAGAGACCAACATGTTTGCACATTGAAACATAAATGAATATAGAACACTAGATAAAGATATGTATTTTCAGGTAGTAGGGTGTGTTTTAGCAGTGAATGGAGGATGAGCAGCTCAGGACAGAGCAGCGGGACATCAGCTGACCCCTTTGAAGACTTATGGAGGCAGCTCAGAGAGTGCCAACAGAATGCATTACAAGGTAACTATTCAGCCATTATGTTCTAGACATAAAGTGTTGCCTATATCATCCCTGTAGGTAACTTTAAAGACAGATACTAAAGTTACATCTTTCAAAGTGTATTTGTTCTTGTGTCACACTCTTCAACATTGCATTTTTTACTGTTTTTAGAACTTGAGGCAAAAGTGACCAAGTTGAAAAAGGAGCGCTATTTGTGAGTATAACAACTAATTAACTAATAATGATGATGACAATAACATCAGTAGTTTTGAACCTGGCTTTAAACCATCATGTGAGACTGGTTGCTTTAAATGTAGTCCTGTCTTCAGAAGCTAACTGTCATTGCTTTTGTTTTTCTTCAGAGATGCTCAGAGACTTGAGGTGTTTCACAGTCGCACCCAGCAGCTAAAGGAGCAAAACAAAACCCTCCAGGATGCCATCATCCTCCTGGAGGAAAGGTAACTTCCCCCACAACAGGTAACCGTTATTCAAAACTGTTTGAAACAAAGACCAGCAACTTAAAAAAAACAAAACGATTTACAGGCTCCGTGAAGGAGGGTGTGATCGTTGTGCCATCTTAAAGGAGGACATGAAAAATAACCAGGATCAGAATGTACGACTCATCGCCAAACTCAGTGAGTTAAATAATGATTCCTATTATTCCAGTCAGATAGAAAAACCTACTGTTTTAAAGTAGGGATCTGTGTCTTCAGGAGGTCTGGAATGTATTTCGATTGTACCAGTGTACCACAGCATATTGCTACTTGCCTGGCAAAGAGCATACTATTTTGAATAGTGAGGTAGCATCTGTGTAACACCTTGGTGTTCTGCTTTTCACCAGAGAATGAAAGAAACAGCCTCGAGGATGAAAACAGAAAACAACATGCTGAACTGCAAAAATTAAAGATTTCTTGGTAAGCTCATTATTATGTCAACATGTTCTCTTTGACATAGTCAGTGTTAAAATAAATGAAATGTTCTTTTATCAGCTACCCAAGATAACTATACATACTGTAGGTAATTTGATCATACTGGTTCCACTTCTGCTTTGATTGAGTCAGGTGGACTGAGTTTTGAAGCAGATGAAGCATTTACAATAAAGTTTCAGTTCCCAGTTAAACATTGCAGCTGTTGTTTTTTTAACAGCTCAGCGCCGGAGCAAGTTAACTCCCCAGAACAAGAAGAAGGCGTCATCCCAGACTCACCTATTATGGCAAGCTCGCTGCCTGTAGCAAACAAGCTGAAGAAACGAAAGAATATCGACAGAATGAAGCATGTCCGCTATGCAGAGATGCCTCTACCAAAGGCTAACAACTCTCTCTTTAGCGGTCAGTCTGCCTTTGAAGTTACTTCCAACATTTCTAATGCCCCTTTAATCTAAATCTCCTGTCTGAAGGCCCCACATCTTCTAATGTGTTTTCTTTTTTAAAGCACTGGATAAGGAGCATGTTGATGCTGTGACGAATCCTGGAAGAGCACAAGTTCTTGTACCCAACACATGTGAACTGGACACAACAGAAATATCAAGTATGGCTTTATCCAATTAAAAAAAATATATATATATCATACAGAAGGACTACTTTTGGTTTTCTAAGAGAACAAGAATTGAAACCCTATTTATTTCCTCCCATTAGAAAATATCTGTTACTTGAAGTCGTAGATTAGCACCTGGCAACATTGTCTACGCAAACACACCCATCACATCAGCGTAATTCACCCGACGGGCTGCACAGAGAGAGGCGTTGCTGTTCATTTGATTGCAAAGTCTCAATTCGGTCCTCTTTACACAGAGAAAGTATAATATAAACCACCTCTTGCATAGTTATCTGTTTGAAATGAGGCATCATATATTTGCAGAGATGGTACACATGATAATACTTTTGCTTTTTATGTTCTTGTCTGGTAGCATTTCTTTAATTTTAAGTTTAAAAATAACAATTTAGGTTGCAAAGTTGAAGATCTATTCTAAGATTTGTAAAGGTGTTGTTGGGTCTCTGTCTTTTTTTCAGATGATGTGAATGTAAATCTGGAAGACGCTATAGCAGAAACCTGCGGCCTTGAACTCATTCACAAGCCTCACATGGTAGGTAGGCTTCATACTGGTGAAGAATAGTCTGTGTCAAAGAGACTTCCCAGAATACGCCCTTTGTAAGGGAATCATTCTATTTGATTCAAAACCAATACAGCTTATGAATAACATCCCATTTCTTTCCTTTTTCTCAGAAAAACAAGACGACTGAAGGCCAGCAAAGCAGCTCAAAATGTCCCCGGACGTATGCCGTTCATTTAAAGTAAGACAACAGATATTACAGCAAATTGGCCAACTATCACATCAAAATCATAACTTGTTAGTTCTGACTTTTGCAACTTTGGCTTGTAAAAAAAGACACTGCAGCAAATGGCAATGAATGCTGCCAACCTGTCAATTATCACATAACACATTATTATAACACAAACATATTTGTTTCCCTGCCTTTAAGACCTTACCGCTCCGCCCCTTCTTCCATGCTGCTCCACAGTCCAGACTCCACGTCAGAAAGTTCTCCGTCGCTTCTCCCATGTGTCAAAAGGTTTTCAGAGGAAGGCTCCGTTAACAAAGCAAAACGGAAAAAGGAGGAAAGGGTCCTGCAAGAGAAAGACCAACAAGGAAACCAGGAAGGGGCCGACAAACAAAATGGAGGCAAACTAACTTTGAGCAATCAAAGCTTTAAGCAGGGGCTGCGCGACAGCAAGGTTAGAGAGATGTCCAAAAGGCTTGTATGTGTGTGTTGGGAAAAGTAGGGTTAAACATTTCCTCCATGTGGTTTTTAAATGTCATGTGATTTTTTTCTTCAGTCAGGACAAAATGAGACTTTCAACCAAAAGCCAAGTGTTTCCTGTTTGAGTCCTGTTTTCAAGAAGCCAGATGTTAAAGCAAACAAGAACAGTGTTAGAAGGAATGGAACACCTCAGCAGGATCTGAAGGCCTCACACAACCGACCTGAAGGAAAAGATGGTGAGTTCTGTCCTGTTTCTAGCAGAGTGTTCAGTTTGCAATTCATCATTTTCTTTTTGTATAATTTCAGGTATTTCTTTATAATCACTTGTATTACATGTGAGCTCTCTGTTTCTGCTCTCACAGGGGAAAGGAAGATTAAAGTGGAGCCCATGTGGAGCATGGACCCTGCTCTCTCCCGGTCCATGTATGACAGTGAGTGGAGAGGAGATGAGGTACCTGTGACCACTTTCTGTTTGCTACAATATTCTGTGATCAGTACACTGTGTATGTCATGACTTTTCGTCCTCTTATAAACATTAAAAGAGGGAAAATGTTCAATAGGAAATCATTGTAACATTCAGATGGATACATTGGTTAAATGGTGTCTCTTACGCTTATCTGCATCTTATATTTTAGCCAAGGGAAGAGGAGGAAGAGTGTCCTGCAGATTTGGTTGATACTGACCGCACTTGGGTCAGTCACAGCCTTCTCCTGGGTCGGGGAGAAAATGCCCAGGACAGAAAAGACAGTGTGTCTGGTGAATACAAACCGTAGCTTTTATAATCATTGCTTACCGACCAATGTTTTTGATTGACAGCTTATCTACAGGATTTAATAATCAAATGGGCTGTAATGACAATTAGATAACATGTCTGTCTCTTTTTCCAGCACTAGGAGAGAAGGCAAATGACAGTTTGGACATGATGTTTGACACCACAGCTTGCGGGGAGTACAACTCTCACTTAGGCCGGAGCCAGCCCTGTGGTGGTGATGAGGAAGAGGATGATGAAGAAGGAGAAGAGGATGATGGTAGGATTTCATATTTTAAAAGCAGTTCAATATTGATTATCAGATCCTAAATGTGACTTGTGTTCATGTCCTTGTTTTACTCTCCAAGATCCTCATGAAAACACTATGAGCCAAATAAGCAGGCGTAAAGCACGGTAAGAAACTCTGTGCTAGACTTAGTCATCAATGTAGGAGAATTCATTTATTATTTCCAACAATCTTTATTTTATATTTTTAAGAGGTCCAGCGTTTGCACACATGGCTGTGGTCCGCAAGAAAGACGAGAGAAGAAAACTGAAGGGCACTACCTGCAAGGAATGTGACGTTGTAAGTGTTTTGATCACCAAGCTGAGTAACAATGTTTTATCACTGCTCCTTTGTTAAAGATGTTTATGTCCAACAGTATTACGCCCATCTCCCAGAGGATGAAAAGGAAAAAAAGTTATCAGCATGCTCGAGGCACAGGTTTCTGTACATTCCTCCTTGTACTCCTGAAAACTTCTGGGAAGTCGGATTCCCATCAACTCAAACCTGCATTGATCGAGGTAATTTCACTCTTTACCTTTTTAGTCAAACTCTCCATTCAACAGAAAGTGTTAAGGATAGCAGGACATGTAACACTTTCCCTGCAGGGGTCATACGTTTTTTCACAATGTCTTCATTGGTCCATGATTATGCATAAAGATACCTATCTAAGACAAATCATTTCCTCATAGGTTATATAAAGGAAGACAAGAATCCCCAGGCTCGTACTCGGAGAAGACAACCCTACAATGCTTTATTCTCCCCCCTAAAGCAAAACCAGGAAGAAAGATAAACAACAAAAGTATGTTTGCCTACCTAAAATAACTCTTTAAATTGTTCAATTTTCAGAAAAGGCTCATTACTGTATACAAATTGAGCTAAGTGTGCAATGGATCTGTTTTATACAGTGATCTTATTAAGAAAGTTGACACCTTGTCATCTTTTCTTTTTCTATTTAAATTCTTTGTCGTAAGTGTTTTCTATATGTCTTCACTGTTTGAGTGGCTTATGTGTATCGGAGGTTAAGATGGTGACTGAGTATGTTTTGGGTACGTTTGGATAAATAAAAATGATTATATCTGGAGTGAGGTCAAATGTGCAAAGTTATTCCAAGTAATCCATTTTGATTCATCAAATGCTGCCGTTCCAATTTGTGTTAATAGGAATGTTTTAGAGAGGAAGTAAGAGCACGGAGAAGGCACAATATATATTTAAAGATATTTGATTTGGTGAGCAGATTGTCAGTGCATAGAGAAGTTACAAAAATACGTTTTATTTTGATAGAAAACAATGTCTTTGGGCGTAGCTGGAATGTTCTTATTTATCACAACTGAGAGTCTCTCTGGGAATACACCAGCAGGGCCTCTCCAACATGACTGGTGACCACACTGTGAACAAAACAACTAATTAGAGGAATGATTATAACCCAACACATTTCAGTATTTAAAGTAGGCAGGAGACGTGCTTACCAAATAAGAGATGGAGTGTTAATGTCCATGTTGAAAACAAAAGGGGACAGGAACATGGCGGTGATCTGGAGGGAAAGAGTTTCTTCTTAAGCAATTCAAAAAATGCGATTCACAGTGTTCTGATTGTGTTCATTATGATGCTGCTTCTGTGAAGTTCACATGCTTCTAATTTAACCGTGAAATAAACATAAAACTAAGTCAAATGTATTTTATAATCACCTTAGACAGAAATATCCAGACCTCAAAGTGCTCAAGGGTCAGCCTACTCTTTAGTTTCACTGTGGCCAGCAACAACAAAAACCCCAGCAGTGCACTGTGAAATAAAATGATTCATTATTCTGAAAACATCAATAAAATAAAAGTGTTCCTTAAACTACAAATAAAAAAAATGCCTTCTAGAAAAATGAAATGAAACTTATCAAGTCTAAAAATAACATTTTTCTGCAAAAGATTACCTTGACTTTCCAACATAGATCTACTTATAATAATGGCTCTGTAGGCATCACATGTTATAAATAGTTAACTTGTTGTGCACTTGATATCCCACAAGGTTACATTGACCGTCCGGGCTCTGTGTCAAAGGACAACTGGCACTGAAAGCATGTTCTGTTTCGACACTGTATGATGTATACTTGCTGCTCTACAAAGAAAAAGAAGATAATTTGGTGTGTTTACAAAAAAAAGTGTTGATGGACAGAAAGTTCTCACCTTGCACAGCAGCCACAGTGAAATGTGTAGGACTGAAGTGAGGGAAACTCCATGGCACCCATGAGGTCACCTATAGAGTGAATAAGTATTACACTAATAATGTTTGACTGCTAGGAAAAAAATATATACAATAGGTTTTTGCAACTTCTATCTTGCTCGGGGTCATACATACCTGATGGGTGAGCAGCGATGGCCAGAAGCAGTACACTGTTTTAAAAAGGGGAAAGGTTGAGTTTACATTTGAAATTAAACTGACTTAGTACCCAAACAAAATATGTATTCTTACCTAAACAAGTAGTTAATGCACTGTTGTTCGAGGTCACTGCAATGAAAACATCACAAAAAGATTTGTCAGTGACTTTAAAGTTAGTGATCATTTATGTCAGTCAGAAGAGTGGTTTAACAACTTCAGGATGAGAACTGCATTGGAGTTAAAAAAGAAACACAATTTCAAATGTATATGTTTGCTGTTACATATTGTTGTGCTTCCGCTTACCTCAAATTACTGGATTTGTAGTGAACTTGAAACACTCTGTATCCACCTGAAAGATTACATTATTTTATTACACTCTACTGATTTTTAAAGTTTTTTCAATTATTGGTGGTGTCCCTCAAGGCTCAAACCTCGGGCTGCTGCTCTTTTCTTGAGCTCTTACACTTATCAGTAAAGCATCTCTGTATATTAGACTTACCCACACAGAGCAGATGACCAACAGCCCACAGGTAACCACTGATGTCAAACTGGAAAGTTAGCAAGTAAACACAAGTCATTTCTTATAGCAAAGGACCCTTGTATTCTTAATTAAAAACAGACAATATGATATCATATACAGTGACGCAAAAAAGTATTTAGTCAGCCACCAATTGTGCAAGTTCTCCCACTTAAAAAGATGAGAGGCCTGTAATTTTCATCCTAGGTATACCTCAACTATGAGAGACAGAATGGAGGGAAAGAATCCAGAAAATCACTGTCTGATTTTTAAAGAATTTATTTGCAAATTATGGTGGAAAATAAGTATTTGGTCAATAACAAAAGTTCATCTCAATACTTTGTTATTTACCCTTTGTTGGCAATGACAGAGGTCAAACGTTTTCTGTAAGTCTTCACAAGGTTTTCACACACTGTTGCTGGTATTTTGGCCCATTCCTCCATGCAGATCTCCTCTAGAGCAGTGATGTTTTGGGGCTTTTGCTGGGCAACACGGACTTTCAACTCCCTCCAAAGATTTTCTATGGGGTTGAGATCTGGAGACTGGCTAGGCCACTCCAGGACCTTGAAATGCTTCTTACGAAGCCACTCCTTCATTGCCCGGGCGGTGTGTTTGGGATCATTGTCATGCTGAAAGACCCAGCCACGTTTCATCTTCAATGCCCTTGCTGATGGAAGGAGGTTGTCACTCAAAATCTCACGATACATGGCCCCATTCGTTCTTTCCTTTACACGGATCAGTCGTCCTGGTCCCTTTGCAGAAAAACAGCCCCAAAGCATGATGTTTCCACCCCCATGTTTCACAGTAGGTATGGTGTTCTTTGGATGCAACTCAGCATTCTTTCTCCTCCAAACACGTCTAGTTGAGTTTTTACCAAAAGTTCTATTTTGGTTTCATCTGACCATATGATATTCTCCCAATCCTCTTCTGGATCATCTAAATGCTCTCTAGCATCTCTCTGTCTATACCTGTGTACTCTCATGTTCCGATTAACCCAGCGTCCCCAAATGTCTTTCTTTTTGGTGTCTATATACGCCAGGATCCGGAGTCATGGATGATCCTGCGCTCCTCTGTCCTGGATCGCGAGCCCTGGATCTTGAGTCGTGGCTGTGGTCCTGGATCATAAGTCCTGGATGGATATCCTCGTGGATTCATCTTCCTATTATACACACATGCATTTCCAAACATTTGGACTACCTATGTTGTAAATGTATTATCTTTTCAATTTACACACGGCATCTATTGCACGTCTGTCCGTCCTGGGAGAGGGATCCCTCCTCTGTTGCTCTCCCTGAGGTTTCTCCCATGTTCCCCTTTAAACTGTGGGTTTTCTCTGGAAGTTTTTCCTTGTACGATGTGAGAGTCTAAGGACAGAGGGTGTCCTATTGTCATACTGATACTCTGTACAAACTGTGAAGACCACTGAGACAAATGTAACATTTGTGATATTGGGCTATATAAATAAACATTGATTGATTGATTGATTGATAGCAAACTTCAGACGGGCCTGGACATGTACTGGCTTAAGCAGGGGGACACGTCTGGCACTGCAGGATTTGAGTCCCTGGCGGCGTAGTGTGTTACTGATGGTAGCCTTTGTTACTTTGGTCCCAGCTCTCTGCAGGTCATTGACTAGGTCCCCCCGTGTGGCAGGGTTTCCGCTAGGATTTTTTCTCGCCGGTCAAATGTCCGGGCAGACACATTTGATAATTACCGGTAATATTTCAATAATAATAATAAGAGTTGTGTAGCAGAGTTTCCGTTAGCAGGTAATTACCGGACTATGAGCAGATATGCTTCAGTTTAAAACTCAGTTCACGGGGCTCATTTTTATATTGCTTCAGTTTATAATCGTAACAGATCAAAAAATTCAGATTCATTTTTCAATAAATGATTCCACAAACAACATAATTATTATATTCAAACAAACTACTTGTAGTAGATAACGTACATTATTCAAAAGTTTACATTAACTTTGAATAATAACACGGGAGAAACGGATGCTCTCTTTTCCCCTCTCCCTCCCTCTCTCTGACAGCCCGTCAGTTTCTCCTGCAGCTCCTGCAGCTCGCTAAACAGAGGCGGGGCTTCAGGTGATTATGCAGAGCTGCGTGTCTCGGTCAGACTCAGCAGCTGATCTGATCTCTCTCGCGTGTCCGGTTATACTTCACTCGCGTTTATGTCCATATCGATCAGATCCAGCCGATAATGACCGGCGGCCGATCTATCGGAGCCTCCCTAATTATTACCAGACATTTTGACCGGCAGGTTTTGAATTGACCGGTTTTTAATAAATTTTACCAGCTAAAAACCGGTAATTACCGGCTAACGGAAACCCTGCCGTGTGGTTCTGGGAGTTTTGCTCACCGTTCTTGTGATCATTTTGACCCCACGGGGTGAGATCTTGCGTGGAGGCCCAGATCGAGGGAGATTATCAGTGGTCTTGTATGTCTTCCATTTTCTAATAATTGCTCCCACAGTTGATTTCTTCACACCAAGCTGCTTACCTATTGCAGATTCAGTCTTCCCAGCCTGGTGCAGGTCTACAATTTTGTTTCTGGTGTCCTTTGACAGCTCTTTGGTCTTGGCCATAGTGGAGTTTGGAGTGTGACTGTTTGAGGTTGTGGACAGGTGTCTTTTATACTGATAACGAGTTCAAAGAGGTGCCATTAATACAGTTAACGAGTGGAGGACAGAGGAGGCTCTTAAAGAAGAAGTTACAGGTCTGTGAGAGCCAGAAATCTTGTTTGTTTGTAGGTGACCAAATACTTATTTTACCGAGGAATTTACCAATTAATTCATTATAAATCCTACAATGTGATTTCCTGGATTCTTTCCCCCCATTCTGTCTCTCATAGTTGAAGTGTACCTAGTATGAAAATTACAGGCCTCTCTCATCTTTTTAAGTGGGAGAACTTGCACAATTGGTGGCTGACTAAATACTTTTTTGCCCCACTGTATAATATGATCATTAGGATTTATTACCTGAGGGTCGTACATCGGGAGGTTGATGGCTGACAGCAGCATGAAACATATGCTACAAAAAGAAAGAAGCATATTTAGAAATATAAAAGGTAATATTTAATCTTTTGGATTTATGAGTTTAATGTTAGTTATTTTTGCACAAACCTGAACAATTTCAGCCATTGTGTCTTCTGTTGATAGAAAATAGGTCTTTAATCGCTTTTTCAATTTTGTCCCTGTTGCAACAAAGCATATTGAATCATTCTAGCTTTTACAATATAGTGTGTGGCCAGGATCGTAAAGCAGTGGTGGGTCTGCCTCCTTTGTGCTCCATTTTCCTCCAATCAATAGGATGGGGGGGGTACAAAGGGAGGGAGTCCACAGCACATAATGATATATATATTCACATACGCCACTCACCTCTCTATGGACAACCTTCAGGATTATGTAACTGACGACATGGGAGGAATTCTGAAGAGTGAAGAAAAAAGGAATGTCCTGGGTATAGAGAAGACAAGGATTTCAGATATACTGCATCTCAACTGTACTGTATATGGTAAAGCAAATATTAACTAGGATATTTAGAATGAAGGTAGTTAAAAATGTACTTTATCTAAGTTTGTATATGACGTACAATGCGTGATAAAGCCCTGGAACCAGCATAAATGTTTCCCACAAACAGGAGGGAGCCTGGAAGACAGGAAAGAGCCGCTGATCTGTAACACAACATAACAACATGTTAAGCTCCTCTTAATACATGTGGTTATTGGCAGCCGCGGAAAACAAATCATATGGCATACAATATTCATTAATAAAAATACCTGGTAATGCGGCTCATTTCCACCCATCCAAACTTCCCAGAGAGTAGAAGCAGAAGAGCCCCGACAAATGTCTGCCATCTGAAAACGTGCATTTGTATAAGTTTATAAGGTTTTCAGGGTGTGACATTTGTATTTATAGAATGCAAACAAGCAATTTTAAAAGAGATGCAGATCAAGCTTTTTTGTAATTACACATTTTTAAGATTTGTGATCTGTATATCTATTTGTCTGACTCTAAATTGACTAAAATTGGATTGAATTTAACACCAACATTTGACATTTTAGTCCATTCCAAGTGTTGAATATACAGTATTTTTTAAATGTCATTAGGTGCCTGCAGATCCTGTAATGACCATGAAAGGATAAAACACAAAGAGGTTCCACATGAAAGTATTTACCTTCAGCTACTACTCACCCTTGAAATAAGGTCGGATATGTGAATTTTAACACTGACAGGACGAACTGAAAAAAAGAGTGATATAGTTCAGGTCATTGGCTTATTCTAACAGAAACCAATGAGTTATCATCCTGAAACTAGGAGATGCTCCAACACTGTCCCCAAACCTCCAATGTAGTGGTTCCACAATAATACTATACATAGTATATGGTATAACTTAAATGTAAATATATTATCAATGGTTGCATTCACACTTCGATTCGGTATGTTCTACATCCAAAAGGTGTAATTTTTACAACTTCCTGCAAATGTTTTCTACCAAACTAAGAGTTGAGGATTTGTTATGTTGTTAGTTAATGTAAGTTAGTGGCTTTTAATCAGTGACGTTCATGCATGATTAGTGACAGCACTTTCGAGAAGGGTCTTACATGATAAGGGTTACATTGCCATTTTCATAGGATTAACTCACGTTATCTACATTGGGTAGTAACGTTATATGCACACTAATTGCCTGGTCAATTGCTTCACTTGCATAATACGAAATAAAAGTATCTATTGTACCTGTAAGTAATGGTTAAAAGTCATATCGATTTTTGTATTTGAACTATGAGCCGAAATAAGATACTTGGAGTTAACGCCATCGTCTTACACTCACCTTGTTCGTGAAATATGATACAACGAAAACGATACTAAAAGCGAGCCCAGTAATGTGTTTCCTCCACTGCATGTTGACCTGCACACACACTGCAGCAGGGACATGATTCTCAACAAAAACTAATAATACTACATTTAAAACAGGTAGCCCTTTTCAAACTAAAAATGTCAAGCCTGCAAACTTCCCTCACTGCCCCTGTTGACACGTCAAGACGTTTTGAGACAAAGATCGTCTATATTTGAGCAGACCATTCACTGGTAAAATGAACGTCACGCATCTTAATCTAATGCTGGAGTCATTTATCATTTTCTGCAGGGCATTTTGTTTATGATTTTGTATGAAAACAAAAACACCAATATTTTATGTAAAAGGTCAGTCATCTGCAATTAGAAAGTATTTAATGAATACGGAAGACAAACAGACTCCACATTGTATGTCTAATACATTAAAAATACCACTGCCTACATTTATACATTTAATGGTAAATAATTGAATGTATTGAATGTTGAAATCAGGCTAATTGTAGTTAGTTTAATTAATTCTGGGTATTTAAATTTAGTAGATTAATGTCAAATCACTGCTACACTTTTCAAACATTCATGGGCCAATTTTAACGGTAATTTCTTAAATAAAACCCGTAAAAAAAAATCCTTAAATGCAGGATAAAAATACATAAAAACATTATCATGCCATTTGTTTTATTTTTGATAAGGTATCTCGGTTAAATGTTGTTAATTCGTTATGGTATCCCAAAATATAGTCGGAGTGGAGCCTCTCCTTTTTATTGTTATGGTATCGTTTGTCTCATGCAGTCACGTGGTATCCAGCAAGTTTCCGTGTTTACAGAGATGTGAACAGACCAGACTGCTCGGTGTCTCTTTACTTCTTTAAAGGATGGTGTGCAGTCATGGCTTTTTTAAAGAGGAAAGAACGAACTAAAGAAAGGTTTGTGCTGCTTCTCCTGCTGTTGGCATAGCATTATTTCAGAAAGTGTAGGTCATGCTGTGGGCTTAGTCCGGTGTTTCTCTCGGCTGTGGCTGAGTCTCATTATAGCGCCAGGCTGGGCCACTCCGCTAATGAACGCTTCACTGTCAGCTGTGTGATGCACTTTCTTTATTGAAGACACAATGAGCGGCCTCGCTTAGCAGCAGGAGTTCAGTCTGTGCTTTTGATAACACAATTAATAACAGTGTTTTCATACCAAACCGTTATATGTCCAATGTCTCCTTCAACTGAACACATACAACTTATTTTGACTCCATATGACCTTAAAGATGAATCCTCACGAAGCTAGTTGTGACCTGAAAGGAGCAACAATATATATATTCAACTGATATGAATATCTCCACAGAGATATATATATCCACCAAAGTGCATACAATACATTATAGTGGCCATTGTGAACATATGGAAAAAGTCTTGATTGTTCAAATCCTTCATGACTTCTTAGACCCTATATATGTTTCACATTTACCACAAGAGCATCTCTTAAGAGCTTTAAAATCATTTTCAAAGTGGTTCTGATCTAGAGGGAGGCATTGGATTTCCAGACTCAATGCACTTTACTGTGGCTTTTCTTTGTCAGGAAGAAGAATTAAGCGTCCACTGTTTCAGCTGAAGTGAATAACTGTTTGCATTAAACATTCACTCAAACAACTTTTCAGATTTCCAGAATGAGTTGTGGTTGTATTGTCCCCTATATATTTTTATATAGTGGTGGGTTAACACTCCAGCTGCCTTTTACAGTAGATTCCTGTTATTTGACATTAAAATATTGTTGTTTTCCTCTAGATTTTCCCTCCTGTTGCTGGATTTGGAGGAATATTATTTTGAACAGCACACTGCATACCACGTGACAACCTGTTCAGAGAAGGAGAGGTAATTCATAGTCTCTAATATGCTGTATATTCTAGTAACATCAGTCACCTAACAATATGTGACTATATGAATGTGCTTTCTCTGTCGGTTCACCAGTTTCTTTTTATGTCAACCTTCCTGTAATATGTGGTCATCTTCATCACCATGTTGTGATGCAAATCCTAATAGTGGTTGGAACAAGATAATACATCATATCCTGTTAGCTATGTTTGTAGAACTTTATTTATTTGTCAGTTTTTTGCCTGTACTAATATTAAGTCAAATCCTTTAAGTGGTTTTGTTAGGAGCAGCTGTTCAAACAACATCTTATCCTTTTATAATGTCTTGAGCAAACTGAAGAAAAGTCACCAGACACTCAGAAGAAGACTATGCAGACATATTAGTTTAATTGTCGTATAATACGTTTCCAAAAATGTGAAGGAACCGTTTTTATGTGAAAAGCAGTTTCCTTATGACAAATTATTAAATGTTACTGTGATAATAATGCCAATTTGTACCAGTCAGCACGCTGTATTTTACGCCATTGCCAACGCTGCAGTTACCCAGTGAATGCTCTATTGATGCAGCCTCATAACCTACTTTGACCTCATAGCAATTCCCGTTACGCTGCCTAAAATCGAATGTGTTGCAGCACATTTAATAATGTTTATTTTATCCAAGCACTTATGTCCCCACCACTTTTCAACACAACGTGCTTCTTCTGAAACATGTGTATTCATGGGTTATATTTGAAGGATTCTTTACTGCAGTGCTTAAAGTATAAATGTTGTTTTATCATTTGACTAAAGTGGCTAAAAGTGCTAACCAGCTAACATTTAGCTATTGTCCTTTCAGAAAAGTCAGAGGCTCGTTCAAGGTCTGCTCCAGATCTGTCATATTTGATCCAGAGGATGTTTCAGAGCCAATTTTAAAGGTTTGTTTCAACAGTTTTTCTGTAGCCCCGGACAACTCTCCCTCAATAATATAATAATACATTAACCGTGCTTTACCTGAACCTCATCATGACACTAGAGAGGACGGCAGGATTGTAATTTCCAGTGTTCAGTGAATACAATTATTATGTAAAAGATTATTTCCAAGGCACACCTTCATATGATCATTATAGTTATACAAAAAATAAGAGAATAAATGAAAAACAGTTATGAAATATATATATATTTCCAGATCTCTCAGGTCTTCAGGGACTGGTTAGCTTTCTGTCCCCAGAGTCAGAACTAAACATGGAGAAGCAGCGTTCAGTTATTATGCTCCAAATATCTGGAACAAACTCCCAGAAACCTGCAGGTCCGCTGCAACTCTGACTACTTTTAAATCCAGGCTGAAGACTTTTCTTTTTGTCGCTGCTTTTAATTGAACTATTCATATCTTAAACTGCACTGTAACTTTTATCCATGTATTTTTTCTTTTAATGTTTATTTTATTATCTTTGCTTTTTAATGACTGATTTTAAATGCCATTTTCTTAATGTCTTTCATTTTTTGTAAAGCACTTTGAATTGCCTTGTGTTGAAAGGTGCTATATAAATAAACTTGCCTAAACTTGCCTATATGACAGTAAAACAAGAATACAGTTTAAAAGGGGAGTGATTTGTAAAATATCCAAAAAGAAAATCTGCTTACAGTTCTGTTTCATATGGGTGCTGAGAGATGTATCCATAGATCTCTTAATTTTGCTCTCAAAGTGCACCAGATTGATGCTTTTAACTTCAATATTTAAAAAAAAAATCTTCCCGGGGGAGCATGCCGCCGGACCCCCCTAGAGGAGGTTAGGTCCACTCCCACTTATAAAAATAGCACTTTACCCCTGCTTACACCTATATACGGTGAGCTGATTATCGAGCCTTCATTGTAACGGGTGTGCTGTGTGTGGGGAGTGTTTCAGTAGAAAATTCCACTGTAGCGCCCGGTACCTTAATGGGAAACCCTACATGTTTGAGCACCCTCTATGAAACGTCAAGCTACCCCACAGCAGCCCCAAAAGAAAATCTCTGGCGCCGCCCCTGTGGGCTAAGACCCGGATGTTTCCAGGTCCAGGAAACGCCCCTGTTCAACATACAGAAATTCATGCTCTATTCATATCACAGCCAGTTTTGCCCACACTTTATTCCATTTGCATGTTTTGCATGGAGGTTATATTCTTTATTGTGCGTCTGCTTTGCAAAAGAGGCAGTACACAGGTTGTGATTAAAAGTGAATACATAATGACTTGTCTCTGTTTCTGCAGATTCCTCTTCGCGACTGTAAGAAGATAGAGTTTGTGGAGAGAGAGAGCAACCCTTTCAATGAGTGAGTGTTCTTCTTCTGTAGCGCTGTCAACACACTGATGTAGATTCAGTTGGTTGAACTGGTCCGGTAACTTTAAAAAGGGAATGCAAATGTTAAACTAGGAACTACACTTGGAAACCAACTCTAAAACCAACATTTACAAATAAATGAGCAACCTATATTTGATCATTTAGAACAAACTATGTACCTGAAGTCTGGGTGACAAACCCAGAAAGTTAAGTTTGGTACACATTTGCTTTAAGTCATTCTATGTTGCCAACATGTAAATTTCACTTTTTAAATTTGGGATTTAGTTTTGGTTGGAACTTTCCCTTTAAAAAAAGAAATCCAAGTAAAGTAATGACTTATTGTGTATGTTGTGTTTTCCTCATAGTCCGAGACCATCTGTCATCTCTATTTCATGTGTACAGGTAGGTCATCGTTCAAATGGAACACAGCTGACCAAATGTGATAAATAAGGATAAATGAATGAATATTTGTCATGACAGCTTCACAAAGTATAAACATTTACACTTTCATTTCAGGCTATCTACATCAAGGAGAGCAATGTCATAGCACCTTACAGAAATGAAAGGGTGAGTCAGTGAATATATAACGATGTTTAAATGCCAGGAGCCGTTTGGACAGATTGGACTTTCCTCTTTATGTGTCGGTTTGTTTGTAGTGTAAAAATGCATCCACGCAAATCTGTAAGTCTGTGCACGTGTTATGGTATACTCTGTTTTCGCCGGTGGAGTTTAAGTAGTTTGCAGAATACTGTCAGTCACATATGAGTTTTCACAGCCTCAGATCAAATGTGGACCTCAGCCATCTGAAGACTACAGTGATGTGTCATCAGTGCACAAGTGCTGATCTCATGCTGATTCTCTCACTCAAACGGAAACATGGCAATAAGTTGAGCAGATCAAACAGAAAAGGCTCAGAGATGAAATTGAAACACTTCTCTCATCACTTCGGCAGGGGGCAAAGAAAGTGACGTTCCAGTTGGAAGATTGGAGTAAAACAGAAGATGTGGTTCAGACATTTCTTCAGGTACGTAGCATTTC